AATAGAAAACTGTCCTCATTTCCAAATGTGGCCCATGAAGAGTTGAACTCATGAATAATCAAAGTGCTCACTGAATAACTAAGTTTAGCTTCAGTATCTTCCAGAAATTCACAAACTGTGCATTAGCACCCACTTACTGCCATGCTTCACAGGGGAGTCAATGGAAGTGCACATCCTGCCCTGTTCACAGGTTTCACTGGAAGGCTTCTCCTCTTTGTCACAGTAGCTTTTCCAGTCACTTGATGCACAAATTCCATTCAAAACACATCAGACCAACGTCAGATTGATTTCTTGGTTAAGAATATGCTTAAAGGATGAATGTAGAGCTCACATCATAGACCCAAATCCTCTTACCCTGTGCTTTATTGTCCATCACCAAAAAAGAATTCCTTCATCTGCATGTCCACTCTTGCAGTTGTTTAAGGTGATGATTTAAACCTAACATCAGTTAACCCAATTTAGCTACAAATAGAATAGTAATATTATTAACATTATAGCCAAACAATAGAAAAATATATTTTAATCCAGTAAAGAAGTGAACCAAGCCATTGTCTAGAAATTACAGAAACAAATATATGTAGAGTGTAATTCTAATCTTACTTAAAATCCTCATAAGAAAAATGACAGACACATTAATAATAGTACGACTTGTATAAAAGTATCCTAGAAATATCAAAGCTTAAGTGTACTATTTTTAAAAGACTATGAAATTACAACATTCACAAAAAGTAAGAAAATAGACACTATGTGAATTTTTTCTGAAAATTACCTTTATCTGAAAAACTTTGTCAAGAAATGTTTTGGCTTTCAAATATTGAAATTCTTACATTTACAGTAGAGGACATATTGTGGAAGCCATATAGACCCAATGACAGAATGCTAGCATTGTAGACATGTCAGACTCACAAGCTGACAGAAATTCTGCACAATAATTTTTATTGAACCTTTGTTTTAACCTCAAGTCTTGATATCAGATGTGGAATTTTGGACTTGTGGTATTACCACATAACTTAAAAGGTTTGGATTGTAGAGCATTTTGTATTTCAAATTTTTAGAATAAAAATTTTTAGACTACTTATAAAAAAGTAATTGGAAAAAAGTATACAGAACCAAACAAACGAATTAGCAGAACACTTAGAATGTAATATTCAAAATTAAATAAAAAATATAAAATGAGCTAAGACAATTATAATCTTTTATAAATATAAGTTTTTGGCTGGAGGTGAGTGTCCCCGCACCATCCCAAGCACTGGGAGTTTAAGATCCTTGCTCCCACCAGCCAAGGAACTTCAGAGCTTCCTGCCACACTAGACCAGCACGGCAGGTCTTAGGCACTAATGTCCTGGCTTCCTGCCTTGCTCGGATTGCTCCTGGTTCCTTGCACCTGCCTGCGCCCTCGGTTTATCCTAACCTACAAAGTAGAGCCCAGGCACAGACAGATTCACTGTGTAATTCCTCAAGAAATACAAAGAAGACTTAATGCTGACACTCCTCAAACTCTTCAATAAAATTGAAAGGGAAGCAATTCTTCCTAAGTCATTCCTGGAAGCAAATATTACTCTAGTACCAAAACCTGAGAAAGACCCAACTAAAAAAGAGAACTACAGACCAATCTCCCTAATAAACACAGATGCAAAAATCCTCAATAAAATATTGGCAAACAGGATGCAGCAAATCGTCAAGAAGATTATACACCATGAAGAAGTAGGATTCATCCCAGGAATGCAGGGATGGTTCAACATACATAAATCAATAAATGTAATCCACCATATCAATAAAGACAAAAGTAAGACTCACATGATCATTTCTATAGATTTAGAAAAAGCTTTTGGTAAAGTCCAAACATCATTAAATATAAGAACCTTATGGAAAATTGGAATAGATGATTTTTACCTCAATATGATTAAGGCCATCTGTGACAAACAAACAGCCTGTATCATACTCAAAGGCCAAAAACTGAAGGCCTTTACCTTAAAATCAGGTACAGGACAAGGATGTCCCTTATCACTGCTCCTATTTAATATAGTGCTGGAAATACTAACCAGAAAATTAGACAAGAGAGAGAAATAAAAGGGGTAAAGATAGGAAAAGAGGAAGTTAAATTATCATTATTTGCAGACGACATGATATTCTACATAGAAGACCCCCAAAACTCCACTGAAAGACTCTTAGATATAAAAAAAAATAAATTTAGCTATATAGCTGAATACAAAATCAACACTCAAAAATCACTAGCATTCCTATAAACTAACAACAAAATCACAGAGAGAGAAATAAGAGAAGCCGCACCTTTCACTCTAGCAACCAAAAAAAAAAAAAAAAAAAAAAAGAAATATTTAGGAATTATTCTCATGAAAGAAGTGAAAGACCTATACAGGGAAAATTATAATACACTGGAAAAAGAAATTGAAGATGATCTCAGAAAATGCAAAGACATCACTTGCTAAATGGGTCGGAATAATAAATATTATGAAAATGGCCATTCTCCCAAAACTGTTATACAGATTCAATGCAGTCCCAAAAAACACCATCAACATACCTCATAGATCTAGAGAAATCACTCCTAAAATTCATCTGGAACCAGAGGAGACCTACAATAGCAAAAAAGTTCTAAGCCCCAAAGGCAAGGCAGGAGGCATCACAATCCCTGACTTGAAGTTATACTACAAAGCAACTGTAGTAAAATCAGCATGGTACTGGAATAAAAACAGAGCTGAAGATCAATGGAACAAAGTAGGAGATACAACCACAACTACAAACAAATTCAACCACCTTATCTTTGATAAAAGGGCCAACCATGTTTCACTGGAAGCATGACAGTCTCTTTAATAAATAGTGTTGAAAAAACTGGCTCTCCACATGCTGAAAACTAAAACTAGACCCATGACTATTACCATGTACAAAATTAAAATCTACATGGATCAAAGATCTGAATATTAAAACAAAAACACTAAATCTGTTGGAAGACAAATTGGGTAAAATCCTTGAAGACATAGGAGTAGGAAGAGAATTCATGAACAGGACTCAACCTGCACGGGAAATACTTCCTATAATCAATAACTGGGATCACTCTTATTAAAAAGTTTCTGTATGTCAATAGAAATCTCCAGCATAGTGAAAAGAAAACCCACAAACTATGAAAAAATCATAGTGAACTGTCCATCAAAGGATTTCTTTCTAAAACATATAAAGCATTAAAAAAAATTAGACCCTCAAATTTCAAAGATCCAATCCAAAAATGGGCATCTGAGATGAATACACAATTCTCAGATGTAGAAATACAAATGACAAATAAATACATGAAAAAAAAATGTACATCATCATTACTCATTTGAGAAATGCAAATGAAAGCCACACTGAAATTCCATCTCACTTCTGAAAGAATGGCCAGGAGCTATAAAACTACCAACAACAAATGCTGGAGAAGCTGTGGGGAAAAAGGAACTCTCCAGCACTGGTGATGTGAGTGTAGACTGGTGCAACAATTGTGTAGGTCAGTCTGGAGATTTCTCAAAAAGCTGGGATTAGAAGTCCCATTTGTTCCAGCTATTCCACTTCTAGGCATATCCCCAGAAGAGCTGAAAACATCATACCACTGTGATATATGTGCACCCATGTTTATAGCAGCACAATTTGTAATAGCCAGATCTTGGAAACAACCTAAGTGTCCATCAACTGAGGAATGGATAAAAAAAGATGTGGCATTATTATACAATGGAGTACCTCTCAGCTATAAAGAAGGATCACATTGAGATATTTATAAATAATTGGACACTGCTTGAGACCATACTCATAACAAAATAAATCAAAAATCACATGTATAAGTACCAAATAGTTTCCTTAGTGAAAGAAATAGTAATAATACATAAAAGTATGTGGTAATTATGATTCCCCATTATATTGCTTTGAAGTCTTATAATGTTTTCATTCATTAGTTGGAATGGTTTTATTCTGGGGTGTTTTATTTTATTGTCTGTGATCATATGAACAGTTATTTTGAAGGAAACAAGACATTATAATAGCTAGTGATGATTTAATATCATCTTGTTTTGAAGTTTCACCAAGCTTTTGTTCTTCTGTCTCCGTCGGTTTTATAATGTTGTATCTCATTAGATTTTATTATATTTGATAGTATAAGCAAAATTTTTTATGGACGAAGATAATATAGTAACCATTGTTAATTTTCTGTTATTTGGTTGTGAATACCTTGTAATACTTTCATTCTCTTGAATGGTTTTACACTGTCTTTTATGTTTGATACTATAATGTATGAAGGCATACTCAAATAGTTCAAGGAAAGAGACATTATGGTACCTACTGTTATGTCAGGTTGTCTGTGATGAAACACTATGTTGCTTAAATTGCTCTGTTCTGACCTGTTTTGTTATGTCTTCTTTTATTTTATTTTTAAAATAAAAAAATAAATGTTTTAAAAGATTAAAATTTTAATGTCAAGCATAGAAGCCCAACACAAATTATTAAAGAACAAGTAACTCAATGACATCCTCTGAATTATTAGAAATTCCTGGAAGAGAAAATTAAGAAAAGGAGCAGAATATATACTAAAATTTATTATTCAGAAAAAAAACTATTGAATTAAAAAATGAAAGTTTCATAATTCCCAAGTATGATCAATAAATAGTCCAATAAATCTACTAGCCATTAAAATATAGTAAGTCTTTTAGGCATCTAGATAAAATGAACAAAAAATGTATCAGAAAAAATGTAGCATATCTGTAATAGCTCTGATTTTTACCAGAATAATATATCAAGAATAACATACTCAGATTTTTTAAGGAAAAAAATATGACTTTGTATTTCAACCACTGCCTCCTAGGCCAATATTTTAATTTGGAGAGCTCATAACTCTTCCTACAAAAATGAAGCCAACAGTTTAATAAAATACATCTTTTTCACTTCTACTAAATATTCTTTAGAGATAAGTACTACTAAAAGCACCTGCTTCTGCCTCACAAGATAGATGACAGAAAGGAACACAATTTGCTCATGAAAGAAGGTTTAATCACAAAAGGAAACATTGGGATATCCAATCTCTACCTTTAAATTATATTCTTAACTGAGTGGATATGAAAGCATTTTACAAATGTATAAGTTGTCTGATTCATCCCAGTGATCCATGACAATCACTGAGGGCCAGCTTCCTCAGAAGGATCGGTGCCTTTGCCTAGCCACAAAAATAAATGATATTTGGGGACAAAGGGTAGAAGCCCAGGATGGAGGTTTCTCTTTAGTTTCCTGATTCACTGCTGATCATCATAATAGGAGAAGAGATACTGGAGAATCCTAAGAAAAAAGAATTCCGAAATCAATTAATTCATATTTTTAACTCCCAGAACAAACTACTTCTACATGAGTTTGCTTCTAGAGGATTGAGAAACGACAGAGGTGATTAAACATTTGCTAACTTTCATGATAATCATGTAATCAAATGACCTTACCTTCACTGTTTAGATAAAGAAATAGAAGATCAAAGTAATAAAGACACTTGCTGAGGTCACCCAGAGACTGAGTGGTAGAAAAAGAATTATCCTCAAGTAGTCAGACTCAAAAGCCCTGAAGACAGAATCCGATACCACACACTTCTCTTACATTCCACAGATGGCACCATTGAATACATCTTGCTATATTTATAGACATTATCCTAGTTTTATGCCACACAGTCATGCTCTCTCATTGGCGCATCCTGTCAGAAGTCCTTACATTATAAACGTTTCCAAATATAACGCCACATCTGCTTGCCCTGACACAAGTATCCTATTTTTAAGCCTAGGAAACAGCCATGAGAACATCTCAAATAACTCAACTTTGAAATCAACGTTTAGTTTGAGACCAACATATGATACCTGCTCTGATTACATCAATTCACTGGCAGTTCACTGGAAAGTTTTCTGTAAAATTCAACCTGAAGACACCAATCATTTTATATGCTAATATGGCTTAATATATACTCACAGTAAAATCCACTGAAGCAAATTAATAACGAGCTCATCAGCTTGCCAGGTTACTCACTTAGGAGATGCACATGTGCTATCTTAACAATATCTAAGTGACTCTGTGTTTGTTACACTGATAATTTCACAGAGCATCACAACCAGCTGCAGAAAATGTGATTCTGAGTGTCATAATTGGCAGCAAAAGAATTTTCTGCCATTTCACTGTGTCAATCCTAACCTAACCGGCAAGGTAGAATAGTGTGAGCAGAGTTTTACTGTGTAACATTACATACTGTACATACGAGTGAAATGCAAACACAAGTTGCGTGTGTGTGTATGTGCAAATAACAGTTGTATAGATAATTTCTGTAAACTAGACAATATAGGAAAATCATAGCATCCAAAATAAAATATCAGGAACCAACATACTGAAGAATGATCACTTTTAGATTTGAAATACTGAATAGCTTTTCTTGGTCATACATTTACTAAGTGACTGAATGAACCCAGCTTATTTATAAATCCCTTGTGATTAGTCTTCTGTATTTATTAGGCTTCAGAAGACAACTGTATACAATACATAAACTCAATGAATGCATGAATTTTTGCCAGGATCCTACGTGTTATAGTCCTAGACTCACTATGAGAAAAGATGGGTGGGTTTAAAACAATAGAAATTCATTCTCCCATGGTGCTCAAGCTCTTGGAATTAGCTGACAATCTTTGGTATTTCTTGCTTCATACATGGCTGACTGCAGTTACTACTTTGGTCTTCATGGAATTCGCTTTGGCACTTCTTATAAGGACAAAGTTTATGCCAAATTAAGTTATGAAGATGGAAGCACTTTTCATCTTGTATACATTATCCTGTCTTCAATGGATTTAATTTTATGGAAGAGGGTCTTCTTTGGTTAGGTTAATCCCTACATATTTTTTAAAGTATTGTATGTAGAACTGTTTTCTGATTTTTTCTCAGCTAATTTATTATTAGTATATAGTATAAATATTGACTCAATGTTAATTCAGTAGCCTATTTAATATTATGTCTTTGATAGAAAGTCATGCCTAAAAATATTTTGTGCAAACAGATATTGTCAATAATAATATTTGTCTCTCTCTACCTAATTTGGTACTATATTTTCATAATTATCTCTTTTTTCAGCTTAATATAAATGCATTTAGCTATTGCTATTTCCTTGATCTAGTTCCTCATATGAAGTCATGTGTCAGGTAAATTTTACATTTTTCTTGTTTTAACTTGTCAATTGAATTCTCACCGTTAACGGAGGCTCTAATCGGGTAAGTTTTCTTTCCCTTTTACTCAGCCATAAAGTAAACATTATCTAAATATTGACTTGATGGACAAATTCAGAAGCTGAAAACATACTATCAAGTACCAGAGAAATATAATTATGCTTTCTGAAGTGTGGAAAACAAAAAGCACAAGTAGCAATTTTACTATTTTCCATCTTGCAAAATACTGAAAATACAAACCTTTCTTTTTCATATGTTTTCAGAAAAATATCCATGGGTTAGAAATGAGGTAGGAAAAGGTATATTTTAATAAGAACGTGGATAGCATCTGAATTTACAAGTAAAGGCAATGTGGGGATTGATAACTGGTGGTCAGCTTGCAATCTCTGCTCAACTGAATCAGCTTAGTGTCGGATGTGGAAGACCCACCTGAGGATTGTTGCCAAGATAAAAAGAAGAACTAGGGAGGAAGAGGTACTGCTGTTGATTCTCCATGGTGTTGTTTGTTCTCCATGGTGTTGTTGTCAAACTTCTTTCCTGATAGGAAGTTTGCTGTTGTCATCATCAAAGGCGTTCAGGACCTTGTTGTTGCTGAGAAAAACTGCGGTTTTAATCACTGAAGAAGTTTGGAACCATTCGTTGCTGAGGATGGCTGTGGTACTTTTCCAGGGAGCTCTGTGCCTTACTTTGAGCACTGCTTCCTAGATTCAGTACAGAGCTCTCAGTCCACTGGCATAGATCCTTCACCCCTCTGGCACAGACTTGCAAGTTTCCACCTCTGACCTTTAGACCTTCCCAGTGCAGATCTGTGAAACAGACTTGCATGAGTCATTGTCCTCAGCTCTAAGCCTCCAATTGGACTTGGTGAAGGCATTCATGGGCTCTAAGTCTTGCAGTATGTTCGTGCAGGACATTGCTGTGGGATCCAGGCCTTTGGATCTATTCCCTTGGTCTTTATTGTACGGACAGATTTCCTGCACTTTCTTTGTATTTGACTGGATAACCATAATACTATAAATTATGTGTTTCATTGTTTTATTTTCCTTGCAATCCCTGACTAAGACAGATATTTTTGTAAAAATTAGTTGTTAAGGTAACAAATAAAATGGCATTGTTTATGCATGCTTTTCTGCAGTATTTCCACAAATTATTATTTGTCCATGATTATGGAGAATTAATGTTAGTTTTCCAACAAATAGATTATTATAATTATGTCAGTGCACATTGAGGAGGAGTAAACTCATTTTTGTATTAAGCAAAATGCTTAAAAAGTCAATTAATCAAAATAATATTTATGTTTCTATTATAAAAGTAGTCTAGTAGCCAGGTGTGGTACACACTCCTATAATCCCAGCACTTGGGAGGCTGAGGCAGGAGTATTATTGCAAGTTCAAGACCAGCCTGGCTATAAAGTAAGCCCAAAGCCAGCTTGTGAGACCCTATCCTAAAAAGAAAAAAAGTAAAATAAAAATGTAAGAAAGAATTCTGAAGATAAGCAGGATGCATGGCGTTCTCTAGACAACATTGTTCTATCCTTGCATGTGATTTCTACCTTTAAGTCAGCTTTTTTATTATTGTTATTTTTTCCAATCATAGGCCAATGTACAATGGAAGGGAAGCACAGACTTTCTTTTATGAATCACCAACACTAACGTGGCCCTGGCAATCTTACTCAGCATTTGCATTTTTAATTTATTAGTGAAAAAACTGAATTATGTGTAGACTGTGGGTCTCAGTTAAAATTTGTAAACATATCCATCTCCCCATCTAATAGGAGTACTGAACACATAATAAAAAATGATTTATGTTTGTAAAGAATACCAGTACTATGGGGGTTGTGATTTTTATTGCAGGGCCCATATGTGAAATAGGCCATTTTAAATCAAATGGTTTCAGATGTATTAAACTCCTTCTTTCAGATTTCTATTCTTTTCACAGCAGGAATGAAGCCAAAAAAGGTTAAATCACCTTTTCAAAGTCATACAGTATTTACTGTTTAATCAATTGTCTATCCTATACGCCCTAATGATAGTTAGTCATTTCAATAAATTATCACAGAATAAATACACAACCATCGACTACTTTTAAAACGTGCTAATAATTTAAATGCCTTTTCCTACCACTTAGAATTCAATAGATCTTCCTAATCACAGAACCACACTGATTTTAAAATCATGCATTAACTTGCAGATTTTGTGTTTTATATTTATGAAATCCTACATTTATATGTATCCTGTGTGTGTAAGTCCTTCTACAAACTGTAGTAACTTGACCATGTTTATTTTTCTACTGTGCAATGTTATAGATTTAACATTCTATAGATGATAGTCATTTCAGTGATTCAAGTATTTTGAATGCCTCTAGAATTATTTTTATTTACACATTTTGGAGCTTGTGCACATCTATTTTGTTCGTTTGTTTGCCTTATAGTTTAAGAGAGGGATTGCTGGGTTATATTGTATATGTGTTTTCAATTTATTACATTTTCCACAGTATACCAATCCCTTTTCAAAGAATGTTTCTAAACAGAGTCCAAGTTGTCAAGTGCTTTTTATGAAGATATGGAATTGTTGGTTCCATAGGAAGGTAGAGGAGAGAAAGAGGGTGACCGACCATTCACAGTCATGCTGCGTTTCAGAGACGTGCCCAGATCTTCATATTATTACACTCCCTATTCCTCGGGCGACAGCACTCTGCCCATTTGAGGACAATTTCTGGAGAAATTGGGGATCAGAATATTCAGACATAACCCTGAACATCTGGGGGAATATGTTACTGAGTGATAAAAGTGCTTATGAAATATAACTATCTCTATCTATCTACCTATCTATCTATATCACTATTGCACTAGTCCATCTCACAATTATGAGCTAATGGTTCATTTAAGAACACAGTAACTAAGTGTTCAAAATACTTTGCACAATTTAGAAGTAAACGTCTTCCTTCCAACACCATTGATTTCATGAAACATATATTTTAGAGAAAAATGTTATGAATATTTTTATTGTAGTTTCTTCAGAGTGTTGAGAAAAATGTATGTTAAAGTATCTTGAATTGGTCTTTAACATTTTAATTCAAAATAAAGTCACAGTTTGAAAAAAAGGAATAACTTGTTAAAAAGTGATTCAGGCTAATGTGAAATCAATTAGGCATAACACTTCTTAAATCTTAGAAAAGGAGCTACTTAAAACTCAGTGCTCATAGCTATGATTAGAAACAAGTTTTTTATGTGATTCCATTTGATTAAGAATTATTTTTCAATTTTTTTCAATGGTTGCACACGAAATACAATTTACTTCATTTAGAGAAATGTTATGTAATGATAGAAATGGTATCATTTATCACACTTTTATTTGACTATATCCATTTGTCTTAATTCCTTTTTTTAATGCTGAGACAAAATACTCAAAACCCAAAGTTAAAGAGGGAAAGGTTTATTTAGCTCATAGTTTGTAGAGGTTTTGGTCCATAATTGTCTGGCTCCAAGGAAGAGTGGGCAGAGGGGCAACAGTCAATGGTAATAGAAAACAGCAAAATCATTGAGGAATAAAGGAAATGAGAGGAGAGAGGAAAAAGGAAAGATGGAGAAAGGAGAGGAGGTGGGAGAGATGGAGGGGAAGTGAGAAAGAAAGGGATAGAGGGACGCAGAAAGAAAACAAGGCTCTTTCTGTCTCCTTAATTGTATGCAGGCTACACATTCTAGAGTGCAGCACACACTGAATCCCAGCATTGCACTAGGAATCAGTCACACAATCTAGATTCAACTACCTCCAAAAAAGCCCCATCTAACACTGCATGAAGCTCTGAGGGGACATCCAGCCATGGTATGGTTGATACATTGTGTTAACTTGAGAAGTTTAGAAGTTTGACTAAGCCACTCAGTATGGGACCAGGGTACTCACTTTGTAAGCATCCTGAGCCTGTGCAAGAGGAGGACAGGGAGATCCTGTGAGTGCTACATTCACGCTGGGGTTGGGGTAGGCTGCTTACAATAAAAGGGAGGAGGAGAAGGGGCTTGCTCACCCCCCTTTTTGCTCTCGCTGCTTTTGCTGTCTTCTGCCACCTTGAAGTGCTGCCCCTGTGCCTTGCCACCCTGCCTTGGAGCCAGCTGATTAGAGACTGAGCCTCCACAAACAGTGAGGTACGTAAACTTTTCCTTCCTTAATTTTGGATGTTGGATAGTTTGTCTCAGCAATGAAAGATAAGTAACTAAGATACAAACCATAACATAATTATTAATAAATCTTTAAATCTATATCAATATCTGTATACATATCCACAAATATCCATCTTGCATTATTGGGCATTGTACTGAGTCTTTTCTCTGAGCTGGATTTCTGACCATGTATGTTTGTATGCGTGCGTGTATATATGCATTTTTAAAAATTTTCATTTTGAGACAATGTCTTTCAAAGGTATAAAGTAGCCAAAGCTGTGTCAATCTTACAGCCTTCCTGCCTTAGATTTTCAGAGTTGTAGGATTACAGATGTGTATCATTGCCCTTAGATTTCTACTGTGAATGACTAAATTGAATATACTTTATTTAGGTAATTAATTTTGCTTTCTTGCTAAATAAGGTTTTGTGCAGTTGTAATGTTAGCCCTTGGGAGGCTGAGGTAGGAAAATCACAAATTCAAGTCCCACCTGGGCAATTTAGCAAAACCCTCTCTGAAAGTAAAGAAAAAAAAAATGATCGAGTATCAGATATCAATATAGAGAGTACATTTTTAATCTCTAGTATCCCAAAAAAAGAAAAGAAAAAGAATTTTAACTTAAAAATGTTCCAGATGTTCTATTGTCAATTTCTTAAATTTTTATAGAAAATCAACAGATTAAGAACACAGTAGAGGCATTACGCTTTACTAGCTATGTTTTAACGAAGCAGCATTTTATTCATCAACTATCAATATGAAAAAACACCTGAAACAAATCAAGGAAGACAGAGGAAGTGTTTATTTTAACCTCTGGCTTTACAGGTCTCAGGCCTGCTGATCCTGTTGTTTTATGCTGAGGGACAGACAGTGCTTCAATGCAGGAGCACGTAGGGAAGGAGGAGCTCGCCCCATGCAGGCCAGGAAGCAGAAAGAGGGGAGTGGAGGAGGCCTCCCATATCCTCTTCAAAGCACACCCTCGGTGATCTGATTTCTTTCAAATAGGCCCCATATCTAGAAAGTTTTCCACCTCCCAATAGTGCCAAAGGCTGGGAACCGAAACTTAAACACATGGACCTTGCGAGGACATGTCAGATATAAATTGTTATACGGGTTGACTTATAGAAGGGGACCCCATAAATCAGATGCAGAATAAACCCAACAAAATCTTGTAAAGAGAATCTTTTCCTTACCTCCCCCCACACCTATTACTATCTGCTTTCCATCTTTCACCAATAATGTGAAATACTTACTTTAAAGCAATCCCTGGTGCATTGTCACTGTTTCCTGTGTCTCTTGCTGTTTTTCAAATTACATGATTTCACAATCCATTTGGGAAGTTTCTTACTGCAGACTGAAGTGTCTGCTTTTAGAAACAAATACTGTGGTTTTCTCAAGGATACATGAACGCTGTCTTCCAATTATTTGGTGTATAATATTCATTTAAGTGAATCATGATTTATATAATTCAACTTTGAGCTATTTTAATATAATTTTGATTAATTAAAATAGTAACCTAATTTATAATTGGGAGTTAAAATGAGTAAGGTCGTGCCTCTATTATTTACCCCCTAGTCTGTACATGTAGAGTATAAAATGGACATATTCCATTTTATGTAAATTCCATATTTATATGATTTATTTGTGGCAGGGT